TATTATTATTATTATTATTATTATTATTATTATTCATAATATAAAATTCTTATATATTATTATTATAGTACAAGTATGAGATTGTATAGTTGAGGAGACTTAAATGAATTAATTTGTACAAGTTATACTGACAACATGCATATACATTTTGGTAGCTTATCTCAGAACTTCACAGTTAAGCGTGTTTGATTTGGAGTAATATAAAGATGGGTGACCTTCTGGGAAGTCTCTTAGAAATTGTGCAAGTAAGGATAAAATACGATAAAAAGGTGAAATGTCGTAAAATAGAACCCTTGAAAGGCCAACATCTCTCTCAACTTGTGACGTTAATAAGAGGCACATATCCCTCACAAATTTGTGACGGAGTTATTCCGTCACAAATTTGTGACGGAAACAAGTCTCTCACAAATTGCGACGAACTTAGAGGTTGTCACAAATTGCGACAAAATTTTATTAATTTATGAATATTTAATATTAGAAATTAGTGACAGAATTTGTGATGCCTTAATTCTGTCACTGATTGTGACAGACTGAAATTATCCGTCACTAAATATTTTGTGACGCCAATTTTTGTGACGCACTATATCATCAAGGGTGACAGCACTTTCAGCAATATTGGTAGAGAGAACAATTTTGCGGCATCCATGGGGTAGGGGCATATAAAAACTCTTTAGATCAGTGTCTAGAACCTTTGAATGCAGAGATATGACACAAAACCTTGATCTTCTATTGAAAAAACGGGATGAAAGCAATCTTTCACGTGTTTTAATTATCTCATCCAAACCTGGAAGGTAAACAATGATGTCTCCATCTTTTGAATCAACACATATTATTTTTATCAGTTGCTCTATCAGAACAACATTGACAACTTTAGGGTCGGCTATTGCAAGATATTTATCTATGAAATTTTTCCCTTCTTTGTTGGAAAAATCATTGTCCATGTGCTTCTTCAGCAATTCAACAGCTACTTGCTGGTTTTCCTTCTCAGCAATCTCGAGTGCAGTTGTTCCATCTTTTGCCCTTAAATGACAGTTTGCCCCTAAATATAAGAGCATGCACATATCATCCACTTTACCTTTTCCAGCAAACACCATTAATGGATTTAGGCCAGTTAATGAATGCTGATAATCAAAGACCTTTGGGGTAGCTTTAATATAAAGAAGCTTTAACAATGAACTCCATTCATCATTAGACCAAGCAAAATCAATTGCTTCATCTAGAGACATCTTCTCTGCCTGATTAAGTTCTTGGTATTTATCATGATAAGAATATGCTCTAGATTTTACAATAGAAAGGACATCCTCCAAGTAGTGAGTTTTGACCTGACAATAAAGCAAGTGGACACTTAAGATTAGGAGTTTTGAATAAAAAGCACGAGTCTCAACTCACTCAGCACCATATATTAAATTAAAAATAGAGGTACAATAAGAAAAATAGGAAGGATTACAGTCTGTATCCTATGACAGTCAGCTACAACAGTGGAAAAGATAAATAAATAAGTAAAAACCTTTACAAGACTAAAAAATACAAAATATATTAATCTTGCATGGACATTGCAGTCAAAAGTGGTAATTTGTTAGTTAATTCACAAAAGAATACTAGAAAGGTACCGGATATGTGAGTCCTGGAACATGGATAATTGGGCAGGCACCAAAATATTGAGAAAATCTTGCAGCATCAACACTAGCACTCATTAGTATCTGTAATATCAGAGATAAAGGTTACAAAGATTGCTAAAATTGAAAAATGATAAGCATACTAAGTTATGAATTGAATAATAAATTGACTGGATGAAAAATAAACAAAAAAAAAATGAACATAAGAACACTGAACAGACCAGATGTAGGTGGGGATTTGAAGGGAGCAACTCTCTGCATACAAGTTCAAAAAAAATAAGATATTAGCCAAGAAATCGGTGTACTGTTATATACAACCTACCTACCAAGGACCTATAGATTCGGAATTTAGGCAGAACTGCATAATGATTTTATATCTCTTATTTATACACCTCCCCTCCCCACCACAAAAAAGAAAAATAAAATAAAAACTATGACAAACAGACAAAGATATTTGGTCTTGAGGTATGATCAAAGCAAGGGCACACTTTTACATTGAGCTAAAAATTAAACAATTTATGAGTAATGAGGGTTGTAGAGTCAAACTCCTGACTACATCTTCACAAAAGCTCTATGATGTAGGGATACTATATCAGGGACCAAGATTTTCTAAAAAAAAAGATCAAGAATGATTTTTAAGTTGGTACTATAATGTTTCAAGGGGAGAAGGAGAATACAATTAAATAAAGAGAAAAGCTACCAAATAAAACCTTCAAACCACAAACACAATGCTCGGTTTATACTTGAGTAGTACCATCCCTAGCAAGAGCATTAAGTTACAGTTTGGGCTGGAGGCATGTACAATGCCTAGACCCACTTTACCTTGTGACAACTAAAAGCAATTAAACTCTTGACTACACTGTCATGAAAGCTCTTTTATCATGTTGAAAAACTACTTTTAACGCTCCAAAACCATCTTTAATAGAAACATATTATAGACACGGATGATATAAAAAGTTATAGGACAAAGCACCCATTGTCTCTAGCCCAAACATTACAGATTGTCAATCAATCATCCTTCGACCAAGCTCCAATCAATCACCAAGTACCAATCCTTAATCAATAAGTCCTTTTAGTCTATAATTCCATATTATTAACTATGTTTTTTAAATTATGGGATTTAGGTATAAAGGAAGGAAAGAGATAAATAAGAACAGACAATGAAATGATCTTAATCAAGGTTGTCAATCTCGAGAATTTTCGTAATCTCGTGAAGTCAAGAGTTTACTTGATATAAAAAATATGTTAAAAATACTTTGAAATAACATAATAACTACCATTCAACTTCGTATTAAAGCAAAATAATAAGTTGTAATGATAAAGAAGCAAAGTTTAGAAGCAATTTCACATAAGACACAACTCACAAAACAGCTTTAAAATTTAAATAGCACATTTTCAGGGTCAAGATAGCCGTGAAATGACACAAAAATTGCTGTGGTTCATCATTCGTGTCACGACAGACACCAAAGTACGGATGTGGCAGGGTACCACAACAAACCACACTGTTGCACACTATTTAATACCATTATACAATGTATGGTGTGTCCACAAAATCTAGAGCACAAATCCTGATTCATACTAAGCATAATCCTAACTAAATAGGCAAACAAATCCAGGATGATATTCTAAGATATGATATTTTTAAATATTCTAACACTAATCATTTGACAGATTGTCTCATATTAGTAGTATGAAGCAGAAGCATGTTCATATGTCGGCATGAAGTTGTGTCACTAGCATTATCATCTGCAACTATTATTCTTGGATGAAGGAACTGACATAGAAGGCTCTAATTTGAGGATTAATATGAAACTCAATTGTAATTTTTACTGAAGGTTTTAGCAAAATGATTTTCTTAGAAAATATTAAATAGGCTAAAATACTTTTTTAGTCCCTATAGTTTCACTTATTTTATCTTTTAGTCCTTATAATTAAAATAGACTTTTTTAGTCTCTATACTTATATTTTTAAATCCTTTTTAATCCTTATAGTTTAAGATAGATTTTTAGGTTCCTATCTCGCAGTTTTTTAATCCTTTTAGTTCCTGATTTCATTTTCTTTTTTTACCATTGTCTCTTTTATTGATGGGGCAGAGTTATTAATTCTACATTGTATATTTTATGTTGAATTTATTTTGCTAGAGTTACTCTAAATTTGGCCACTCAACACTCTATACCTCTTTTGTACCCTTACATGCGACACTCATTGTTGAAACACCTTTTTTTTTACTCCCACAAAATTGAAGACATCTACCACATTAACAGAAACACACAACGTTACAAAAAATAATAATAAATAATGACAGGAACTAAAAAGATTATAAAAAAAAAACTGTAAGTACAGAGACTAAAAAGAACTATCTGAAATTCAGAGACTAAAAAAAACTGAAAAAGATAAGTATAAAGACTAAAAGGTAAAGTAAGCGATACTATAGGAAATAAAAAATATTTCAACTTATTAAATATTATGGCCATAAACATGCAAGCCCGACAAACATTTAGTATTTTACAAGAGAATCAAGGGTGGTTGTTTTTCTAATGCCACACATGCCATATCATTCTGCAACATTTTTTATAAAAAGTAGATTTTATAAGAGAATACAAGATGAAATACTAAGTATAGTTTGTAGTGTGAACATGAAAAGATAAACAAAATTATGGAAAGAAGCAGGAGCAGGGAAACAGAAACTAATAACTTTTTTAGATGAGATAGAAATTAAGCATGAAAAATTTTTTTAGACAAAATTACTGAAGAAAGGAAAAAGAGATTTTTCAATAAAAATACTGTAAAAGAAATATTCACTTCTGTAAACAGCTTAAAATTTAATCCACTGCTAACTAGAAGTCTCCATATACTATAACCTACAACTACAAACCAATTTTACAACAAATTATGCTGCAGTAATTATTTTCATATTTAATGAAAATACACCGTAAAATGAAAAGCTCAAAAATCCCTTTACATGGTCTACCTGAGGATTGCCAACATGAGGTCTGAGTATCTGTCCCTTTCATTAATTTCATCCTGAAGAACAAATGAAGGTCATCTTATTGAAAGTTTTGAACCAACTCACTGTAAAACACATGAGACATCGTTGCAGATTTATTCAACCACAATTTCGAAAACTAATGTCCAAAGCAGTTTTACCGAGCCATATTTAAAGTTTCAATTAATTAACACATCTGAGGAATTATTCATACTAAAACAATTATTTCTGGCCACCCTAATAACTAAAATATGTAATAGTAACACAAACGAAGTATTTACTGAACATTTAGAACCATGTTGGAGCTCTAACGAATGACAAAAAAAGGTAAGGTTAATTAAGTACCATAATTATGTGACTAATGCTAGAAATGTCATCCTTCACAGACTGGGTCTTCAGAAAATGGGAACCTGTAGAAACCAACACCTTCAATAGAACTCCAGTAGTACACAGAACAATTGATGATTGCCTTCCTCCTCTCTTTTCAAACCATAACTAGATTGTTTTTAAAAATGAGTCAGTATAATTTTATCACCAATCACAAAAAAAAAAAACCAATAAGCATTGGCATGCCAAAAAGAAATGAAAGAAAAGGGTTAAAGATTACTGTTTAATTTAGATTTTACTATAATTGATTTTAAAAGTGTTGATGTTGAAAAAATTTTAAAATAAGGTTAAGTCAAACATTTGGTCCCTATACTTCATACTGTTTTTCTTTTGTCTCTACATAAAAAAGTTCTGCATTTTGGTCCCCTACATTAGAAAACTATTATGAATTAGTCCTTGGGTTTGCCAATGCTACAACAGTGTTAGATATGAGACATTTACACTTCGTTTTAGCGCCTGCATTAAAAATGAAATACTTTGGTCACTACATCTGACGCACTTTTTAGATCTAGTCCACATAAGAAAAATATTCTAACAATTATATTATTGACAAATGGCAAAGACTAATTTGTAAAATTGTTTTCAAGTAGGGACAAAACTATAGAATATTTTTTTATGTAGGGACTAAACCAAAAAAAGTGTCAAGTAAAATGACCAATTTTTTAATTGAACCTAAAAAGATTGACCTGTGTTGGAAATGATAGTTTAAAATTCAGTTTAACAGAATTGAATTTCTTCAGATAAGGTAAAATAGAACCTTCCACCAAAACGAAAAGTAATCACTTGTAAGAATTAAATTACTAATGAAACAATAATTGCTCTCTATTAAAATTGGATAGCTGACAATGAGGGTAATTTTTTTTCAATAACCTTTAATTTATTCTGCATTTAGAATTGCAATGATGAGAAACAAGAAAAAAACCTGTTATTTAAAATTGATTCTAAAGTTTAGAATCAATTTTTCCTAAAGGATAAATCTGCAGACAAACATGTTTCAAAATAACAGGAATCGACTATAAGTTATAAATCACAGCCATAATAGTCAACGACAACCATAAAACCAACAGGCATTTGTGGGGAAAACTTCTACTTGTTTAATTTATTAATGACAAACCTCTTAATAAACTTCTTCAAATGATTTAATAAAAAATTGTCTACACAACATGAACACCATAAAATAAACAACCATTCATGGGGAAAAGTTATTCTTCTTTAATTTATTAATGACAAACTCTTAATACACTTCTTCAAAATTTTTAATAAAAAATTATGGGTCTGTAACACATTAACACAAAACACTGGTCCAATCGTGACAATGTCCAAGATTCAAATTTCAAACAAATGACTCTTCATTTGATTCAAATCCAGAACAAAGGACAGCAAACCCTAGCAAAGATACATAAATAAAAGTACCTTGTATCCAACAGTGTTTCCAACTGTCTCTCCTCTCTCACTGGAGATTCTTTCAGAAACTAGACAGACAAACAGAGAACTATTTGTTAACTAGTGATAAAACCGGGAAATTGAGAAAACTAAGGTTGCACACCTGAAGCTGCAGAGATACATTGAGGCTGGGTGCAAACTATTTTGCAGACCTCACCCTTGTGCCACATGTGATCCAAAATATATTGTGGGACCTGAATCACATTTAATGAAAAGTAATATGGGCAATTGTAAACATGAAAGAAAAATGTATCACAGACCGTAGAATGTTTTGTCAAAAGACCCAGGCCCACATATAGTGACGAATGTTCTCAAAAGGCAAACTCAAATTAACGAAACATGTAGAGCATATTAGTGTGTCTCAACTGTCTTAGATGAGCAACTAGGAAGCACAGATATAATGCGGGATACGCACACAATATGATACAAACACAAAAATACAAGTATTTTAAAAATTTATTGGACAAAAAAATGGCTATAATATAAAATCATTTGGTGGTCGGACTGAATTACCAAACTGTCAATATACCAAACATCACATTTGTGGTCAGTGTGATTAGTCAATTTCTAAATGCCCCTTGTGGTAGTCAGTGGGATGCTGCAATATGCATCCTCTGATACATGAAGAATGCACAAGGTCACAGACTACAATAGGGGATTCTACAATTGTTTGTTACACTGATGTTGAAGCAGGATCACCTTCAGGTACGAGGTCTGGGTATTTTGTTCTTATTGGAGGCAATTTAATTTTCATGAAAAGCAACTTCTCCAACAACTAAATTTTGGAGACACTCAAAATACTAGATCGAAATGCCACAATCATGTTGCCCTCCACATTACATAAAATTCAGTCTTCCTTCAGTGAACTAAAAACAGAAATTTGGTTGTCACTGTCTGAGTTAAAAGGTGCAAACACTACAAACTTTGTCCACTCTAGTGAACGACCGGCAAACATGTTTACAAAGTCTCTCAAAGACTCTCATGTTGCAGACATTTGTAACAAGCTAGGTTGATACAACATATATGCTCCAGCTTGAAGGGGACTGTTTAAAAGATGATTCTGTTATGATTTTATCCTATGTAAATTGGGAAATATGAAAACTTGTATAGCTGAAAAATTAGGGAATACAATAGTTATTTCTTTACCTTAATTTTAGCATTATTAATTATGAATAAAGTTGATATGTGTGATCAATTAATATACACATTTTTTGTAAATCCTTCAATAAAGATAATAAAATAAAACTTATCCAATTATTGTGGTAATTTAATCGATATTGGTCTAAAAGTTTAAAAAATAAAATTATAAAAAGGCTACTCTGTCCATGTAGGATACATATATAACACATCTACAACATGACATAGACACTATTTAAAATGTCTATTCTATTTAGATTTTCAAACCATAAGCCATCTTGGGTTCCAACTAGCCAACTTAGATTATCTTTCTCATTGTCTTCAAGTTCATTCGATCAATAAAAAAAAAAAAAAAAATTTCTTTGCTCAATTTCCATGTTGGGATCCAAACAGCCAATGTTCTGATTTTTTTTCTCACTTTAAAAAAGAGTATGCACAAGCATAATAAGATATACATTAACAGAAAAAGGAGAAGCTGAGGGAAATTCATATGACAAGAAAGTAACTGAAATGCACCAATCATAATAAATATAACAGAAAAAGCATTATCTAGAAACAGACTCGATGACAAATTTACATAAACATAGTTGTACAAGGTACAAACAATAATAAAAACAAAGCAAATACCTGAGTGCTCTTTCCACAACCAGTCTCACCACATATGATAACTACCTGCATTAAAAAATGAAAAGAATAGTAAGACCAAAAACATGCAAAGTTGAAAACATGAAATACTCAAATCCAACTAAATTGCTATATTTCAATGAGTTTATCAAAATCTTAACCAAAAAATGTTAAAATATTTAAAATTTAAGCATCACTATGTTGTGTTGTAATATGCAACCAAGCTACCAAGAAGATGCATGACCAAAGAAAATTTTATAATGCCAAAACTCAACATTAAATTAACCTGGTTAGATTCAACAGTTGATGGAATAACATCCTTCAAGGATGTAATTGGAAGCTTAGATCTCTTCTTAGCGATCTACAAGAATAAAAAGAAAACTACTCATCATTACCATGACGTGTTACATATACAGAAGATGAGTAACAATATGACAGAATCCAACCAACAAAATCATATACAAGGTCTATACAGTGTAAAGAAACAGAAGGAAAACAAATTTGGACCAGTTTCAAGGCAGAGGAATTCTTCATTCTGGCAGAAAGGTCCTCCAATTTCTTAGTAATTTCAACTTTGCTCATACAAGGCTGACTGAAAAAATCATCATCCTTTTGTTCCATTCTGTTAGTAGTGTCACTATAAGCTCCAATCATATCTCCCCAAATTTCTTCATCACCGGGTGGATAACGCATTAATAAACCTCCTAATACCCGCTTGGACTCTTCAGAAAATGAGAAACGATGAAGGTTTTCTAATATGGTAGTGGTGTTAATCTTATTTTTGATTTTGTGCACAGATACTTGCAGTTTGGTCCCACTCCTACACAACACAGGTTCATTATCAAGAAAACAATATGTAAAACAAATATTACTAAAAATGTAAATTAATTGTTACACAATTAAAAAGGAATTTGCATATGCAATTTTATATGAGCTATACTTGGAAGTTAGCAATTACCCTGAATTTTCAACTCTAAACCCCATTTTCTGAGATAATTGTTGCACTGCAACACATTCTTCAGGAGACAAGTTAGCTTCAAAATCGTACACTGCAAAAAAATAAATAGTCTGTGAATGTATAACTAATGCAATCCGCATATGCCAAACATACTGATATAAACTATATAACATCCTTTGAAGATTTTCAATGCCTAAGAGCCTTTATGAACAAGCATGAAAGATTCAAATTTCACAATAAGCCAAAATGCATGATCACATATAAATTCATTAAATTTTGTCTACATGATCATATAAATTAATATTCTATTAAAATTATGTGAAATAAGTGTCCAAAATTTACTCCTAAAGTCAATGGATCCCATTGTTGATTTGCAAGAAAGTGGCATTCCCGTATTTTGCCTGATTTTCAATCTCATAGTAAGGGGTGGGTAAGCAGTTTGTCCAATGAAATATTGGACATTATCCTGTAACCCAACTATCACTTCCTTTCCAACTCCTTCCTTTTACTTTTTACCTTATGAATATCATCTGATCTGAATTTCAAAAATTACTCACAGAATTATTAAATTCTAACATCTTATGAATTTACCCAGAAATAATTTTCAAGCTTATTAATATAATTGTGTACCTTGAAACAAACACCTAAAAGAAAAAAGTTCAAAAAAACAGACTAATAATGAACTACAAAAACTGTTTTTCTTCAAAAGACAAATGCAACCCAGAATCCTATTTTCTGAATGAGAAAGATAAAAACCAAAAACAATTCATTGGTATTCCACATTAATCTCACCTTCGTCATCTGAAGCCAAAAAATTTTGTAATGTTTGGGAAATCCAGATTTTAATCAATTCATCATTAATTTCTTTTTCCTCCCCGCACGACTCTGGCTCCTCTCTGTTCTTCCTTTTCCTTGACAAGAGAGGTTGATACTAAAAAAAATGGATGTAAACAACCATATAAAACATAAAACAATAGCAAAAAAATGAAAAATGTGAATCCAAAACAGCCATGCCCTAATACCTGTTTTGAGAATTCGGTGTTCATTTTGTAAACACATAGTCTCTGCTCCCTAGCAATCCCATACAAAACACAGACTCAGCATCAAGAAACAAAGATGTAAAACAGAACAAAACTCCTTTCATTAGAAACCACACCATCCCAGACCTAAAACTACACATTATTCATACATACTCAAAAGGGCAATTTCACAAGGGTTGCAGCTAGCACTCACCTGCAGAAACTTACACCTAACCCCTTAAGGAGGCATAACCGGTCCACAATGCCACGCTCTTCATCAGACAAATTACTGAGATACATGAACACTGCAGGATATAAACAGACCATAAATGTACATTGTTTTCGCTCTGTATCGTATCAAATCAAGATTCATGCTATACTAACTACCAAGCATATAACATAATATCAAGCTGAGAAGAATCGTACAACACACTCCCACACTCAAAACTAACAACAATACTAGTTATATATACAATTACACAAAATCTTCTACAAGCAATACGCGCACGCACACACAAAAATAACAATAATACTAATTATTTTTCTTAAAAAGATAAGAAACTGAGTAAACAGACTAAAATCTTGTTATCGGTGTTTGAATGATAAATTAAACCAAATGCGACGCATAATTTGAACTTTGAAGTGAAGTGAGGGAGTAAAGTAGAAGCAATGCGAGATTATGAGAAAAGCAACGAATAAGATTGCTAACCTCGATCGTTGGAAGCCGTAAAGTTGTTGAGTGTCTTGGAATGCTTTTCCAACAAAGCCTCTGAGTTGGCATCGAGAAGCTGCTGAGAAGGCTCCTCCGTGTTCGCCATAACAGAGACCTTATTCCGAACGAAGAGGAATAAGAAAGCGCTTGAAGCAGACACAACAACACGACGC